ATGCACATGTTAAGCGACTTGAGGGGTGGGGAGAAGAGACAGAGAGGAGAGGGAGGGGAAGACTGGTAGAACACTGGAATACTCTAACCTATTAAGCCATATTCCTATCAAAGACCCAAACAGACTTGGATTAGAGGAATCAGAACTGATATGCGTCTTCTTGGGTTGGATGAGAGTATAACTTTGGAAAGGGCAAAGTGGAGGGCGCGCATTCGTGTGGACGATTGATCCCCTTTCTTTTTTTCCTCTCTTTTACTTTTATTGTTTATCTTCTTTGTCTTTTTATGTTCTTACGTTATTTTTATCTTCTAGCTTTTTTATGCTCTTTTATCTTTTAATCTTTTATCTTTCTTATATTCTTATGTTATTGTTATCTTATATTTATTTATCTTTATCTTATTTGTTTTATCATTTTTTTCTTCTTGTTTGTCTTCTTTTTTTGGCATCGATATCATGGATCGTTTCATGTTAGACGACCCCAAAATCTTTTGGGATTAAGACTTGGATGTTGTTGTATCTATAATCCCCACAGAACCTCCAACACACTCTTTCTTATATACTAGCAAAACAGGACTTAACTGTAGGAATTAGTGTTACGTCTAATTATTCTTGTACTCAGCATTTCCTTAATTATTACAGTATTACCTCTATCTCATTCTTCTAGTAATAAGGATACTTGTGTGGTCTGATATTTGGAATAGTAGACCCATCTGTAGATACATAGATCGCTAGGGAAGACATGATCTGTGTACCGGCCGTTCCATACCCAAACGCGGTACAAAACCGATCCAGTCTCAGATGGGAACGCTAAACGGTACGGTCAACGAGTTGTCCCATTCGCTCTTCGCAAACGCTCGCAATCGCCCTTCGAATCGCTCCCTAATGCTGCGCGAAGCGATTTGAATCGTCGCTTCCCGTCGCTGTGCAGGTGGAAACTTCGTTTCCCATCGTTGGCCAGATTGAAGCGATGTTTCCCAAATTTAAAACAAGTCAGCGCTTCGCTTCGTTTCTCGTTGTATTAACAAGCGTACGAATTCGAACCAGGCTTCTCGATTTCTGGTCGTACTCATCAATTTACCTTGTAAGTGTTATAAATTGAGGGAAAATGATCTACTTCTTACGCCACACTCAGTCTTCTTCTTCTACACCAGTCTCTCAACTATTCTCGTACGCCAGGGCCAAGCTCTTCTTTTGCGCCAGACTCTTCCTTTAGGCTCTTCTTTTGCTTCTTTTGTGGACCTTGTGCTACTGTTTTTCAGTTTCTGGAGTATTAATGTTTTTTATTTCTGGAATATTAATGTTTTTTATTTTGTTTAATGTTATGACTTACAATTATGAAATCTTCTTTTGTTTAATTTTATGACTTATGAAATCTGTAATTCAGTTTTATTATAGTACCAAAATATAAGATATAGCGTACCGAACATGTGGTACAGTGTACTGAACGCGTACCGGAATGAACCTACCCCCCTACGAATCGGATACGCTAGATCTAGCGAACCGCGTTCCCGTACCGAAGCGTTCCGCGAACTATGTGACTATGGATCCATCTTTAATGTTAATGGAGTAGTCACATTCCCTGCTAGGTGGCATCCCTTTAGGCAGTGGCGGATCCACAGTGGGGGTAGTGGGGGCAGCTGCCCCCTCTCTACCCCCACCCAAACCCTACATATATATAGTATAATTTTTTTGTATATATACACATATGCGCTTATTATGCTAATTATACATTGAATATCCTATTTGTAACTAGTTATTCAGGTGGCCTAGCGGGAGAATTGTTGAGGTATGTGACCGCAGGCTCGGGTTCAATTCCCAGCTCCCTCAAAATTTTAGGTTTATTTTGCCTCTTCACATTTTTCCCAGCTTTGCTTAATTTTGAATACTTTTATGGTTTTTAGTTTTATTTTTTCTTTCATTTAGTATGTAAATTACCGTTTTTTTGTTAGTTTCATTTTGACTCTTGAAACATTTATTCCAACTTTGCTTAATGTTGAATATTTTTATGGGTTTAGTCTTAAAAGGAATGTAAAATATTTTTCGGACGAAATAATAAATATTATATGTCATAATGTTTTTTAACAAGAATTGTTACTTATAGTTATTTTTGTAATATTGCTTTCATAATAAAATCGTTTATTTGTGAAATGCGTATGATAGCAATCTTTTTAATGTAAATTTGCCCCCACTCAATGAAAATCCTGGATACGCCACTGCCTTTAGGTACTTGAAATAATTCAGAAAATTCTGCCACTACCCCTTCGCAGGTTCCATTTGTGCCCTTGTCTTCCTTTTCTGCATCTGGATATCATATCATTCACAAGTCACATAATATCCTTGTCCCTGATTCTGTATAGCTTTGACCATGGTTTTCCATGAGGCCCGGGTTTGACCTAATGCAGGATCCCCTTGTAAACTTCTTCTGAGTCCTTTCTTCCACCTGAGTGTCGAAGTTGAACTTCACATTTCCCAGTTGTGCTAGCCATTCCAAGCCCATGACTACGTCTGTTCCTCCCAGATCCAAGACATAGAAATCTTGATTGATCATCAAGTCTTGCACCTCAATTTGCAGGTTTTCACACCTTCCATTGTCCAATATTCTCTCCATTTCCTAATTCCACCTGGAATCCTCCAATCTGTTTGAAAAGTAATTTCAGTTCTGTAATCACATTGTGAGAGATGAAATTGTGGATTGCCCCACTGATCTGGAGCTCTCCCTGGAAGTTAGTTGTCCCTTTAGTTTGAAAGCCTTCTGAGTGGTGATTCCTTCTTTGCTCATCACAGACAACCTTAAGGCCTTGGACTCTGATGTATTTTCACTCACATCATTATCTTCCTCACCACTGTCTGGTTCCTCCTCCCATTCAGGACTTTCTAGAAGAACAATCTAGTATTGTCTCATTTTACACATGCTCCTTGTTCCACTTGTCTCCACATTTGAAACAAAGTCCCTTCTTACTTCTCTCTTGAAGTTCAGCCTGGGACAGCCTCTGGGCTCTGCTCCCCTTCCAAGTGGAATTTGAGTGGTGTTACTATGGTTGGATTTCCACTTGGTTCCATCTATCCAGTTCTGAGGTCTCAATATCATCCCTCCCTTCTTCTTCCATCCTCGCTTATCATCATCTCTGTGCCTCACTGCCTCCCCACCTTCAATGCAACATTCTTCTCCTCCAACAACATGAGCTCAGATAGTGAACCTGAATGGTACAATTTTAATTCGGCTAGCAATTCCTCTTTCAGCCCGTTGATGAAAATTCCTTTCAACATCTCAATATCCATGTTACTCATTGGTGCAACCACCAGTTCAAACTGCTCCCTATATTCCAAGACGCTTCCCGTCTGTTTGATGCTCAACATGGGGCCAAAGGGGTTCTGTACAAGTTCTGGATGAAAATGACGGATCAGTGCTGCTTTGAAGTTCTCCCAACTGCGATCAGTGGTTTGTCCTTCCCACCACTGAAACCAATTTAGAGCTCTCTCTTCCATAGCGACCATCACTACAGGTACCTTCTCCTCTTCCTCAATCCGGTTGAGTTTGAAGAAACGCTTAACCCAAATGATCCAACCATAGGCATCGGTAGTCGGTACCATTGAATAATGGTAAATTGATTTTCCTTCCTGATCGTAGCAGTCCTCTGTCCCGCTGAGTATCTCATTGGACAGAAGTTGAGTGATGGCTATCGGAGTTACTACTGCAAGCGGATGACTCCTGGCTTTCTGTCCTCCTCCACCTAGTCTTTTTTATCATCCTCGCAATCGTAGCCTGTCCTGCTGCAAGACGGTATTCCTCAGTTCTTCAATCATCCTCTCTACATGCTCCAGATGGCTCTCCATTTGTGATCGGGTTGTTGGCATCAACTATTCACGTCGGAAATTAATTCCCCCAGAACTGGTGCTCTGATACCAATGATAGAAACTCCAGACTCCAATTTAAGATAGAGTATACTAGAAAAGAATTTTGATGAAATAGCAGAACTCGGAACATAGTAGTCAATGGCTAGATATGGCGCGCGCCATATGCGCTATCGCCATGAAAAAGTGTTCGTCGCCATAGCGCCATATGCACTTTATGTGCCATTCGTATATGCGCCATCGCCATGTGCCATGAAAAATGCCTTTGAGCCATGGCAATCGCCATGCGCCATGACTAGTATGACGCGAAAGGTACAGCAATGGCAGACAAATAAGAAAGAACAATGAGACAAGTTTGAGAGTGCCTCTCTCTTCCAGTTTCCACTAACAGAATACCTTCCTACCTTCTCACTCCTCTCGACTTTCTATTAATAGCCCATTAGCCCCCCCCCCCCCCCCCCCCCACACTCGGATAATTAGTTACAGCTCCTCCCCCCCCCCACCCACTTTTCTTTTATACACTTTATCGAAATATTGAATATTAGTATGTTTAATATTTCCCTTCCTCTAGATTCTTCTGTTTTGGTCTCTATCATCGAACGAAATCATATTCGATACACTTTTGTTTGGTTGAGAAGAAAAAAGGGTGAGAGAAACAGTTTATTTATTTATTATTTGGTATGAAAGGAATAAGAGGGAGAGAAAGGAAAATAAATATATACTAGTTTAAAAAAGACTAATATACCCTTAATGATATAACAGGAAGTGGGTATAAATGGAAACAAACAAAGAAGAATAATAACATTGCAGGACTAAGAAGGAGATCACACGAAGGTCAACATCGTTTGCTAATAACATTGATAATGTCCAGCACAGTTAGGTAATCCATATACTTATGCATGTTTTCTTCAGGACTTCAGGAAGAAAAAGATCAATAGCCAGAAGTAACATGAATTTAGCTGGGAAACATATCAGGTGAATGGTGATGAAAACAAAATATTCCACCAAACTGATATAACATTCAATTATGGATAAGATTTAAAATTACTCGTACAAGACTTCAAATGGGTAATGACTAATCAGTTCGCTCGTTTAATATACGGTAAAACTGGATACAATAACATTTGGCAAAAACCTAAATGAGAAACCTGGTTTTAAAATAATCTGACATTGATCTTGCTTCTATTGTAGCTGAAGCAATGATAAGACGCAACTCATGCCGGCGTCGTTGAATCTGGATTCCCAAAGTTATCAGATCATTAGAGTACACGTTCAAGTCAGAAAAAAACAAACTATGTGAGTAGACATAGAGAAGGCGCATTGGTTGTTATACGGAAAACAGACCTTTTTCAGAAGTCCAATTAAGATATCAGTAGAAATAGACCTTTCATGAGCTTCATCTACCATTACCACGCTGATCCAAACAAATATTAACATAAAGTAAAGGGTGCACTATACTAAAGTACTAATCAGATCAAAGAAAGGACTAACCAAAGTACGTGTTTTCATATAAAAACAAAATCAAGAGCCCGGCAATAAGGAAATGGAATTAAATTACACGAACTAAGTACCTATACTTGCTCAGTAGAGGATCATCCATCATTTCTCTCAGCAATACTCCATCAGTTAAGAATTTAATTCTTGTCAAGTCCTGTGATACCATAATAGAAGAATCCCAACATTAATGCAGATCAAACTTAGTCATGGAAAAACACATGCACAAATAATTACCTTTCCAGTTGTCCATCATACTTCCCCCTTCCCAAATAACAAGGTTCCACCTTTCCTTTATTGTCCGTTCCAAAATAAGATTCATGTTTTCTTTTTACCAAGGATTGTGTGGCTCATATTACATTCCTCCCCTCTGCACATCCCAACTACACAGTTTCAGCTTCTTTATTAAGTGTGTCAGGTCAAAATCAAATGGATAATCTTATTTTGGGATGGAAGGAGTATGATGCTATCACGCTACAAAGAGCTAGTGACCAAAATGTTCACCAAAGACATATATAAAATTAAAAGACAACTCTCACTGTATTAGTAACATCTTCAAATCGGATTGTGTATCCTACTTCCTCACCCAGTTTTACTCCCATCTCTTCAGCAACCCTAGATGCAACTGCCTGCAGAAATATAGCTCAGCTTTTGAATGGATGTCTCAAGTTTCCAAGTGTTTAGCATCTACATTCAAAACTAACTAAGCTATATTTTAATTGATGACAAATGGAAAATACACAGCTATTTGACATCTATATTGCTACTTTGCTAGACAACTGTATGAGTGTATTCTATTAAAAATGAAAAAGTGGCATAAATTATTCAATCAAAATTGAAACCATTACTAGGGTTTAAGAAACAGGAAGACACAGGTAACTAGCCCTTGAGCCCTACACTAAATAATAGTGAAACCTCAAGCTGGACATACACTTATCTCATTTTACTAGTAATCATGAATGAAGTCCCTTTTAACTTCTGTAGGACAGTCAATATACTTAAAGCTTAGTTTTAAAAGGCGCGAGGCGGCACGAGGCGTTTTCATTGATTTACCCGAGGCGCGAGGCGCTAGGCGACGAGGCGCGCGCCTCACGGATCTTAACATCATATCTTTGGTAAGATATATAGTGTACTATTTCTAGTCTTCTACATGAAGCACTCATCTCAAAAAATGATAACATCACAAAAATACTTCAAACTATTAAACAATCTTAACATACATCATAAGACAAATCAAATATTTATTAAGACAATAGCAAGAAATAAATATCAAACGGCATCATTGGCAAGAGTCAAGTCATAAAACTCAATCTTAAAATTTCAAAACATAATTAATAAGATGTTATATAAAAAATTGTTAATAATAAAATCTGTCTTATATATTTGTTAAATAAAATCAAATATTTAGGTACCCTACTCAGCATGATCTAGAACAGACCAACTGAGGTAGTAACACTACAATTTCAAGGTAATAAAATATAAAATAATACATACTTAATTAGTAAACTATCACACGTATAAGAGAACAAACTGTAGAAGAGAAGAAATAAATACTTACCTGCGACTACTCTGTGACGCGAGAAAGTAGCGGAAGAAACAGACTTGCGAGTCTTGCTACGCGAACAAGAAACAGGACCGCAGATGTGGGAACTCGGAAGCAAACCAAACGCATAAGGAAGAAGGGAGAAGACTAGAGACTCAATCGCCAAAAGAGACATCCATGATGCGTGAGAAGCGCGAGCCTCTCAGAGGCGCAAAAGGCGTCAAAAAGCGCCATATAAGGCGCGCCTCTTGGAACCTATGCCGCCTGGGGGTGGAAGATGCGATAAAGTGATCGCCTTAGGGCGCCTCGCACCTTTGCGCGCCTCAGGCGCACTTTTTTAAACCAAGACTTAAAGCAATACAATGTTGAATGAATAGCCAACGACAGGATCTGGATACAGCTCAAGGCAAAAAAACAATACCTGCACGGCCAATCTCCGAGGTTGGGTACAAGCAATTAGGCGCCCTCCCTCTGCCCACCCAGCTTCATTAAGATACTGTGGCCATATATAGTACCAAACAACACTTTTTTTAGAAAAATGAAACTCAAAGTTCAATTCTTCAGGCAAAGTTTAAATAAAACCTATACAACACAGTAACACGATCCCACAAACAGTTCTATGGGCGAAAAACATAGTTGAACTTATTAACATCTATGGTCTACCCTTAACCGAGCATTCAGCAAATCACCAAAATACCTGAGGAATCTGAGTTGTTTTTCCGCTTCCTGTCTCACCCACAATGATAGTGGTGGAATGTGTCTCCACCAAATAGAGAATGGCAGTTCTGTACTTGTACACCGGAAGCCTTTGTCTCTGCTTCTCTATATTCCCATATCCGAATCTGTTAAGGACACATGCGCATACTGCTTCATCACTTACATACATGCATACACACGCTTACATGCATACATAATGATAACTCGGTAAGAAGCACAAAATAAGTGAAGCAAAATGCTCAAGAATACAATATGTATATTGTAGGGGAAAGAATAGGAGTCTAGTACCCGGATGAGAATGAAGATGAGGACGAGTAGAGGAGGACACCGCCGTCTTCGTCGTCAACTAGACGGGGTCGCTCGGTTCCCGGCTTCCAGAATTGTGCCATTTTTTATTCGAATGCAGGTGAAAAGTGTTAAGATACCATAATTTTTGTTATTTGGTCGGAATCTGCCAACCAGCAGCAGTAGGTCTTGTACAAGTGAGATCCAATTTTGTTATGCGTGGGGTAGTAATTTTTGTTACAATTTGCCCGGATATGGCCATTTTTCTTTGGATAATTCTTTTTATGATGAAACGTAAATATATATATCATCAAAATCGTATATGTACAATCTATAAACAAAAATCAAAACTATAGGCAATCCAAAGATTTGGATTCCCTATAGCTAGCTATCCACTCCAAAACTAGCCATAAGGCATGACAAAAAGTGGGAGACAAAGCACCCCATCAGTTTCAAAAGTTAATCATATCGACCGGATATAAGGAATATAATTCTCTGGTTAATTCTCAAAAGTTACACCCTGAGAATTCTTTGGATAATTCTCTACATACACCTGGGTTACACCTTGTGTTACAGTTACACCCTCTTTATTTGCCATGCACACAGACAAAAATCAGATAAAAAGAGACACTTTGGATTAAATTGTCGGTGTGAATAAAATTAGTTTTCAGATCTGCCAGGTTGGTTGCACAGAAACCAATGTCGGTGTACACAGACATTAGTTGTCTGTGTAGACAAAAAAGTGTCGGTGGGAGAAAGATTCAGAGGGCTTCTACACTTCAACGAACAGATTCAGACGGAGATCAGAGAAGGTAATTAAGTTGGAGTCGAATGAAAGTTCAAGTTTAGCAATTAGTTGTTTTAAGCCCCTAAAATTACTAAACTACCCTTCAGAATTGTCATTAAAATTATGACCGGTCAAAAAATGCTGGAGTTTTGGCCGGAAGGAAGACGAGTGGTGAGGAGAAAATGATCACAGATTAAATGTGGACAAATTGAAAGTAGGAGACGAAATGTGGAAGTGGTATAATAGCCATGGGACAAAAAGTGGAATTTCTTCTTTTACTTGCAACACATCTATTTTAATGCTTGCCAACACACAAATTTACCATTAATATATTGAGTTCTCTAATTGTAAAATTGTCTATAAAATCACATTTAAAAATTTAAAGTGAGAAAAATTTAATTATGTTGTTTTAAAAAATTAATTTTTAATGTATTCATAAATGAAACGTAGTCAAAGTAGAGCACATAAATAGCGTAAAATTTCTAATGTTGCGACTATTTAAGAACGGAAGCAAGTATAAAGCTGGTGAAGATGAGAATATAATAGGGACTATAGATAGACAAAGATAAGAGAATTGAAGATTTTAAAGTACAGAAAAAACAAGAGCTATTCACAGGAAACTCACCACCACCCCACTTCACCTCATCCCCAATGATCATAAGAACTGTAGGAGGAGGCTCCCATGCCTCTCCAACCGACAAATGCAGCAGCCAATAGGAAAAAGGAAAAAAACGAACTAGTCGTTGGGACCAAACTGGGGGAAGATGCAAAATATCCTAACTCGGTATCGGTACCCGGCTCATGATCCTGACCCGAAACTAGGGGTGGACCGGTTCGGTTCTGACTGGCCCGGAACCCAGACCGGACCGCCACTGTGTTTACCGGCCCAGCCCGGCTGACCGGGCCCAGGACCGGGCTTTGGGCCCGAACCGGTGTTAGGGCGGGCGGGCTACAAGTCACAGAAAATGTTGTTCGGCCCGGCCGGTCCAGGACCGGTCCGGGCCAACGGTCATATTAAAAAAGTAGCTTTAATGGCTCTGTGGGGTGTCCAAACGGCTCTATAGCCGTTGGAGGCTCCTGGGTGGGGCGGGGTTGGGGGGTAAAAAAACTATAAATACTCTTAATTTTTAAACATTTTTCTACACCTATTCTCCAATTCTTCCTACTCTCTAATACTCTTTAATCATCTCCAATTCTCCATCTTCATCTTCTCCAATTCTCTCATTTTCTCTACACCTATTAATATATATCATATTATTCATATCTATTTTAATTAGTTATACAATTATTATATCTACTTATAAATACCTATATTATATCTAGTTATATTTATTATCTACTTAATATCTACTTGTAAATACATATATTATATCTACTTATATTTATTATCTACTTATTATCTACTTAACATATACTTATTATATTTACTTATATTTACATATTATATCTAATTAATATATTAAGTATATATATTAAATTATTAAATATAAGTGTACTACTCATATAGAGTAGTATACTTATATATTACTCCATCTGTCCCTCATTGTTTGTCCTAATTTGACTTTGGGCTAATTAAGAGAAGGGGAAAAAGTGGTTTGACTTTCCAAAAATACCCTCACAAAGGTGAGGGTATTATCCCCAAGCGGCGGACGGTAAAAAAAGGAAGGGAAGGGGCCGAAATAACCAAGCAAAAGGAAAGGGATGGCCATTAAAAATCAAAGTACAATTTCTAAGTATGACAAGATGGTTCTACAGTACATCTTAATTGTCTACCAAGACAATTTGGAACCAAAATTTTTGAATCTCCCTCCTAATTTTTACTTCAAATACTTTTACATCTACCAAATGGCTACAACTATAAATACACCTCATTCATTACAACAACTATGCATTGGATACAACCCTAAAATAGGGACTACCCAAGAAGAAGCACTGGCTTCACTGGATGTGGTGGATCTCAGACAGTTTTCACCTCCAAACAGCTCACAATCAGAACAGCCAGCTGCAGTACCTACAGTTCAAAGTCACACAGGTATCAGTCCAAATTTTACAAGTGATGATAGGAAAAGATTAATTGAAAGTTTGTTAGGTACTTCTTGTGATGGGAAACTTCAGAGGGGTAAAATAAAAAAGACAACAAATGAGTTCAACATTTCATCCCGCACGCACTGTGCAGAGGATGTGGAAGAAAGCAAAAGAGCAAATGCTTGGTGGTCAGGCTGTAAATTTGCAAACTCAGTACAAGGGAAATGTGGGCAGAAAGCGGGTTGTGTTTGATGCTGAAAAGCTCAGTGAAATGCCATTGCATCAGAGAAAAAATATGTGTTCTCTGGGCTATGCAATGCAAATTTCCAAATCCACAGTCCATATATGGTTTAAAAGAAAGGAAATTAAAAGACATTGAAGTGCTATGAAACCCTTATTGAGTGAAGCTGGGAAACTTAAAAGGTTAGAGAATTGTTTAAGTCACATAAACCGAGCTTCCCTTCCTAGCAACCCTGTTTTTCATGATTTTCGTAACTACTTACGCATTGATGAGAAGTGGTTTTACCTCTCCAAAGTAACAACAAGATTTTACCTTCTACCTAATGAAAATGATCCATACAGATCAGTGCAGTCTAAAAAGTTCATCCCTAAAATCATTTTCTTGGTTGTGGTTGGTAGGCCAAGGATGGGACAGAATGGGGAAGTGGAGTGAGATGGTAGAGTAGGTATATTCCCCTTCACTTATGAAGAACAAACCAAAAGATCAAGCAAAAACAGACTTGCTGAGACTCTAGTCACTAAACCAATCACAAGTGTGACAAGATCAGTGATTAAAGATATGCTATTGAATACACTTATGCCAACAATCAAAGATAAATGGCCGGATTCTGAAAACAGAAGTATCATGATTCAACAAGACAATGCTAGACCACATATTCCAGTTGATGACCTAGAGTTTGTGAAGTGTGGGACAGATAATGGTTGGAACATCCAAATCATATGTCAGCCCCCAAATAGTCCAGACCTGAATGTGTTGGACACGGGGCTCTTTAGGGCTATTGATTCAATAAAAGATCAAAAGCCCCAGAGACTATAACACAATTAATTGATACTGTTTCACTTGCTTTCAATGAGCTCACACCAAGCACTTTGAACAAGGTTTTTCTAAGCTATCAATGTGTAATGCAAAGTGTCATGCAAAACAATGGAGACATCAATTTCAAGTTGCAACACATAGGGAAGAACTCTTTGGAAAGGCAAGGGATCTTACCCAAAAACATCCAGATCAGTCCAGAGCTATATGAATCAGCTAGGGCATATCTAATTGGACATATGGCAACTACCAACAATGCAGACCAAACTGAAGAACAGTTCATAATTGAAGAGTAGTTCATTCTTAACATATGAACTGCTACAAAGGTGTTTTGCATTCACAATTTTTCCCCTTTTTGGTGTTTGTAAAGTTTGTGTGTAACAATATTTTTGTATGTACATTTACACACACAATACACATTATAAACGCACTGTAATGTGTACAAGGACAAGTTTTTTGTAAGCCGAGATGCATGATGAAATGAAATATGGTTTCCAGTAACAATTCTTACATACACACAGATTCGCCAAGTCAAATGCACTTGTAATCGAGCCTCCTACAGTTTTTCAACTAGGCTGCTATACAATTACAGTTACAAACATATGCAATATATTCATACATTTAAGTTGAACTCAAATCCCAAATCATCATAAGTTTCAACCAACACAAAAAACCCTAGACCCCATACCAGCCAAACTGTAACTCAAACCCCAAAATCATGCTTTAACCGTAACTCAAACCCAAGAGAATCAGACACACAGACCAATTTAAGGATAGAGATAAAAGAAGAGGGTACTACTTTAAAAGTGTCATGGCCAGCCACAGGCAGCGCATGCTCCTTTGTTCCCTCCGCCATTGCGGAGTAGACCTCGTCCTCTTCATCCACGCCATCTAGCATCAGAGAACAGTCAGACAACATCCTGTCTCCATAGATCTTCCTCCAAGCCCAAGTTGGTTCGCTTTCAGACTCACTGGAATACCCGAAGTGAATACGTACGGGCATATGAAACGTTTCCGGTGCGGGTTGTGTTTCTGGTGAGAGTGGATAAGAAACCAAATCATTATTCGAATAGGTTTGCTCCTGCATATCTGCAATCGATGTTACATGTGGTTGGGTCAAAACATTTGAGATATTAATTGGACGGACATGGGTGGGATTAAGCTTCTTTTCCATGTTCAGATATGGGCTCGGAGTTGGGCTGGTTGCGATGGAGATAGGAGGTAGGTAGGGGTAACGGCGGAGGAGAAGTTGGGGGTAGCAGCGAAGAAGAAGTAGGGGCTTGCAGCGGCGGAGGGTATGAGTTACAGAACCGGTAGGGGAGGGAAGGAGATAAGGTAGAGTGAGAAGGAGAAGAGTGTAGAAGCAGTGGGTAATAAATGGGGAAGGAGAACCAAGAAGGAGAAGAGTGTAGAAGCGGTGGGTAATAAATGGGGATGATGAAGCGTGTTTTCCGGAAAATAAATGGGGTAGAAGAACCGACAAGTAACATTTAGGGATAGGGGTAGTTTTGGAGTTTCACATCTTTTTCTTTCCTAAAATAGAAACATGGCAAACATTTAGGGACATCCATTTCGGGAAAGTAGGACAAACATTTAGGAACGGAGGGAGTATATAGTATAAACATTATATTATATATTAGTTATACAAGTATTATATTTACTTATATACTTATTATTATCTACCTAATACCTACTTATTATTGGAAAAAAGACAATCCCACCTTTCATTGGTATTCTCAAAATAATATCACCTTTACGTAATCCCAGAATAATCTCACCTTTGCACCCCATCTTCTTGTGTTGTACCCTGACCTGTTGATGACCTACTATACCAGGTTTTTTACCCTTTCTTTGAAAACCTTATATAAATAATCCCACCTTCGACAAATCTGCTCAAAACGGTCCCATTTTCATTTTTTCTTTTTTCTCCCTAAAATTTTTCTTTCGTTATTTTCATCCCTAGATTTTTTTTATCTTTTTCTATTATTTTGTTCTTATTTCTTTTCAATTTTTATTATTTTATTTCTCACTCTATTAGGAGAGATTTTTTTTTGTAAGAAAAACATAAAGAAGGAAATGAAATAAAAAACGAAAAGAAAAAGAAAACAAAAAAAAAATTACTTTGAAGAGAAATTTTACAAAAAAAAATCTCATAATAGAGTAAGAAATATTATAATAAAAATGGAAAAGAAATAAGAACAAAAGGATAGAAAAAGGAGTAAAAAGTGTCTAGGGATGAACATAAAGGAAGAAAAATTTTAGGGAGAAAAAAGAAAAAATGAAGGGAGAACTATCAAATAAGCTCTCAAACTTTCATAAAAAGTGCTAATAATCCCTTTTATAGAAGGCGCTGTCTGGTCGTCGCCATTTGGGGCGGTTTCCGGTGGAATTTTTTGATGAAATTTTTTGAGTATCTTCTTCATTAAATCTAGTTTATTCATACCAAATTTTAGCTAAAAATTCGGTCAAGAAAGCAGTAAAATGAATTTTTGAAGATAATTACGCAGTTAAACAGTGCAATATATTTCAGATAATCATTCGACTGCCTTCTCGATTGAATATTTAGTTGAAAGTTGGTATGGGTAAACTAGACTTAATGAAGAAGATGCTCAAAATATTTCATCCAAAAAATCTACCGGAAACCACCCCAAATGGCGAAAGCCGGACAAAGCCTCCCGTAAAAGGGCTTATTTGCACTTTTTATGAAAGTTTGAAGGCTTATTTGATAGTTCTCCCAAGAAATGAAACATGGGACCGTTTTGAACAGATTTGTGAAAGGTGGGATTATTTGTAAAAGATTTTCAAAAAAAGGGTAAAAAACTCAGTATAGTAGGTCATCAACAGGTCAGGATCCAATGAAAGAAGATGGGGTGCAAATGTGGGGTTATTCTGGAATTACGAAAATGTGGGATTATTATGAGAAGATGAGTGAAAGATGTGATTATTCTTGTCAATTTTCCCCTTATTATATGCTTGTTATTTACTTATATTTACATATTACATCTAATTAATATTTTACGTATATATATATATATATATATATATATATATATATATATATATATATATATATATATATATATATATATATATTCATACCAACGAAATTATATATTAAACGTCTACCACGTTCCATCTTAAATATTCATAACAAATTATATTTGTAAAATTTCATACAAAATGTCTACCACGTTCCATCTTAAAATGTAACAAATATTAAACAATCCTAAAATATTTAATACTTTAATATATATATATATATATATATATATATATATATATATATATATTAAAGTATTAAATATTTTAGGATTGTTTAATATTTGTTACATTTTAAGATGGAACGTGGTAGACATTTTGTAGATATGTGTAACCTCCAACGCAACCGAAAGAAGAAGATTGGGAGGAATCATCCTACTTCTCGCAATGGTAAAAGACATATCGGGTCTTCTTCACTACACCGAGATGATTTTGACACAAGTTATGATCGGGGAGATGCGACTTACGAGGAAACACCCAAAGAGAGGCCATCAACAAACCCCTAACGAAGAAACACTCGACGAGGACGAAAACAACAAGAAAGGTCAATCTCTCCTTATGAAAAACAATTACACAGAATGGAAGGAAACGATAAGCACAATGTGGTGAGCAACTTACTACCAATCTACCATTGTAAAGAAAAGTATGCAACCAAGGAGTATGTAACATTAAGAGCCAAGGGAACGCAAAGTATTTTTTCCCACTTTTTTTAAAAAATAGGCTATCAAGTATCAACTATATTATCAATTGTACTTCAATATTTCAATATATATGCATTGATTTTTTTTACTTCTTGAATTAATTTTAAAATAGTATTTAGAAAAAAAATTAAAGCCCGACCTGAGACCGGGGCAGGTAGACCGGACCGGTTCCGGTGGAATCCCGGGCCGGTAC